GGATTAAGACCTATATGTGAATTTATGACATTCAATTTTGCAATGCAAGTATGTAAATTTACAACTCACATATCAATTATTTCTTGATAATTAACGACATTATTATTAATTGTTTTAAAGGCTATAGATCAAATTATCAATTCAGCAGCAAAAGTCTATTATATGGCAGGTGGTTTAGTACCATGCCCCATTGTCTTTCGAGGTCCAAACGGTTCAGCAGCAGGTGTTGCAGCTCAACACTCCCAAGATTATGCAGCATGGTATGGTGCTATTCCGGGATTAAAAGTTGTATCACCGTGGGATAGTGAAGATGCCAAAGGGTTATTAAAGGTATATAGTATTTTGTATATTTATTTATTTATTTTTTTAAAGAAAAATACAGTATATTAAGAAATATTATTTATTTGTAAGTCTGCAATTCGAGATCCTAATCCGGTTATCGTATTAGAGAATGAACTTCAATATGGAGTTCCATTTCCAATGTCTGAGGAAGCAATGTCACCCGATTTTTTATTACCAATTGGTAGAGCTAAAATTATACGAGAAGGAAAGGATGCCACAATTGTATCACATTCAAGAACAATAAATTTTTGCATTGAAGCGGCCGAAAAGTTGCAAGCCGACGAAGGAATTTCAGTTGAAATAATTAATTTACGATCGATCAGACCATTAGATGCTGATGCAATAGTAAACTCAGTTAAAAAAACTAATCATTTGATATCTGTTGAATCGGGATTTCCGCAATTTGGAGTTGGTAGTGAAATATGTGCCTTAGCGATGGAAACAGAAGCATTTGATTATTTAGATGCACCAGTAGAAAGAGTTACAAATGCGGGTAATTTAACAATATTTCGTTTTATATTATTTACTATGAAATATTCACGTTTTATATTATTTTATATATACATTTAGACGTTCCAACGCCATATGCACAAAATATAGAGTATTTGAGTTATCCAAATGCAGAAGTAATAGCCAAAGTCGTCAAGCGTTCATTATATAGAAAAAAGTAGGTAAAACCAACCACTTTTATTTTGTAGAAGTAGTGGTGCATATTGGATATTCAAAATTTGAATTATTTAAAAGAGAATGATAAAGTTGTTTTCTAATCTGACAAAGTCTGGTATAATTGATGCAAAAATCAATAAATGACTTATATAATTATTGTGATTGTCGATTCTATTCTGACATGGTGCTTATTTCATGGCAAAAATGAGTAGGCATGAATCTTGTACATGATGAATTTAAAAATGAACAATTATAAGAATTTTTATTAAATTAAGAAATTCTTTATTTGTCTAGCATTATTGAGATGATTATAAATTTCATAAATTTGTTATATCAACCAATTTTTGTATCATTTTTAAAATCCGTCCTCCCTGAATATGATCTTTCTAAATGCATAGTCTATGAAAACCACTCTAAATGCATAAGATACATATAGATTTTTACCACCCTAAATGCAAGATTTTT